CTTGTAACACTCCAAAGAGAAAGGAAAAAATGAAATTGCATCATATGACCCCTTTAAAGTGAAGTAACTGAACATAAACAAAGGAGCCTGAGAAAAATACTAATTTTAGACGTCACTTAGAGGCTTTTGCATTTGAACTCTTCATTCATTAGGTGGGGGTGATGATGGATTTAAATATTAAAATAAGGATTAAAACATTAACATTGCTTGCACTATGCAAAGCACGGTGTGTGGATTAATTAGAAGAAACATAGGCTACATTGTATATACCATTTATTAATTATTTTCCTACATTAATCCTGCTGGAATTGTTGTGGGCTTCTAGCATCATTCCTGCCTTTCAGTAGCTACAGCTATGGTACATGTCCAATAAACTGATTTCCCATGTCCAAAAACTTCTGGTTCTTTTTTTACTGGTGAAGTTCTGTCAGTAAAGTCACCTTTTTGTAGTGATGTGGTATTTATGCAAAGCAACATTTTATCCCCAACTTTAAAAATCTAGCATTGCAGATGAGATCAATATAGATGCCTTTAACACAAGCTTCTTCAGCACAGAGCTGTTGTTCTTTTGCACAGATGTGTTGTGATCCTCCTGTCACTGCCATTAATGTACGCTAGTGTGGGTCACGTGACAGTGCGGCTGCTGTATTCTCGTCTTTGAGCAGCTAAAACACTCAGTGTCCTGTACAGCCGCAATCAAAACAGACGATTAAACCCCTCAGGCCTGGAGACTGGTAAGGATAGGGTTATCACATACAGTATGACTGTCAGGAAAAACGTTTATTTTATTCATTTGTCACTCTCACATTAGGAGTTAGCAGGGAGCTAGCTGTGTATTATGATAGCTGGTTAGCAAAGGTTACTAAAAAAACGCTTCATTTTATTACAACGTTTTCATGTTTTTAACGTTAACGTTAGATGTCACCAGGCACCGTCGCTGGACGTTCTTAACTTCTTTCGAGGGAAACCGAAAACCTGTTTACATGCCTAACCAAAACACCTAGCATGCTATTGAGCATCCAATTCATTGAGCTTTCTCACACAGTAATGCATCCTGTGTTTATCTCATGGTGTTCTTCATTATCGTCTCGGATGTGTTAAAAAAACTGAGATTCTCAAGTGAGGTCTATACATATTTATGTGCCGTAATGTAGGGCTAATAAGTGTCTCTTTTTGCAGGTCTATTCAAGTATAATATCCGGACTTCTGTGGATCAGACCGGTTTACCTATCCTTATCAAATGGATAATGGGGACTGGGGGAATAGGGTATGTATGTGGAAAAATATTTAATACAAGTTATTGTTATCAAGCGCTTATTAGCCACAGTTGTGTGCTGTGCAGAACTGCTATTTGAATTTGAAGTAGAATTACATGTAATCGAAATTCAGACATTTATATAACTGTAATATGCGTTTTTATCTAGAACAAAATAATTAAGATAAATTTGGCTTGATAAAACCTTTTTTGAACTAAAAAAATAGATGTGTTTTAAATGGCACCTATAAAATATGTTCTTAATGTATTTATATATTTAATAAATTAACTTTAATTTTATGGACCAAGGTTGAAGAACAATTAATATCCTAGAATACCGTTAATTATCTTGAATTTTATGAATTGCAAAAAAAAATGGATTGCTGTATAGGGCTGCACGATAAATCGAAATGGAATCGAGATCGCGATTCGACAGAAGCTGCGATTGTCATGCGTATCTTTCAGTGAAGCACGGTTCTGTGATCAGCAGTAAATCTCCATCCAAAGGCCAGAGAGCGCTCTCGCGCTGAAACTCCAAATACGCCTCGCAGAAGAAAACCAGAAAATGCCTATCGCTGCAGCTGAATAAACAGAAGATTCAACTGCTTTCATTGATTCAAAGTGACTAATAAACACATGACTATGGCAATATACGGTTTATCTGAGTTCTTATTATTATAATTTTCATTAAAATAAAGTATATTTATAATGCAATGCCTTTATCACTGCTTAAATACTATGAAATATGTTGCGTGCCTTATTCTGTGTAAGAATCACATAATCTCACAGAAGGATTTATTTCAAACACTCGACTGACGTTATGAAGTGAGTTTGGAGTAAAAATGTTATTAAATGTGGTATTTTCACATGTTTTCAGATGGAGCAGCATTTACTTCACAGAGCCGTAGTTCACTGAGAAGCTATGCAAACAGCTGTCATTATCGCGAACGATTTCTTCGATTTCAGAATTGCGCAATAAAATCGTCTGCGAACGTTTGTGAACAGTGAACGTTTACTATGTGTAGTAAATTCTGCTCCATCTGAAAGCACGTGATGATGATTTCGTGCTGATTACAGAACCGGCTTTTTTAACAAAATGCGCATGACAATCGCTTTCGATTAATCGTGCAGCCCTATTGCTGTTTTTCTTAACTGATCAGACTAAAAGTCAGTTTAACCAAGAATGATAAGTATAAAGATTATATTGTCTGCCGCTTTAAATGCTCGAGCTCTTTAATGTCGGTGGATTCTGATCTTGATTCTCACTGTCAATTATTTTATAGTTTTTCAGCCAAAAAAAAAAAAAGTTAAAGTGATTCCAATGATTGTTTCTCTGTGTTATTAACATTATAGATGTGGTGTGGATTTCCCTATTTGTCATACAATTAGAACGATTATTAAAACTTCATAGTTATGGCCATTTTTCTTGGTGTGAACGGGCCTTTGCAGTTAAATAAAAATCCCAAAGGTCCTATAGATTGTCAGTGAAAACTTACAGCTGTAATTTTTAAACTTCATCCACCATCATCGGCAGAGACCTTCAGCCTGTTCTGACTTGGCTTGTTATACTTCATAACTGATCGGATCAAAGGTTTTCTCATAACTGACATTCAAATGGGTTAATATTTCCATAGATAGATGGGCTATTTGTCTGTCTGTCTTTATGTCTGACTGACGGTAAGGTCTGCGTAACCTTCAAATTATAAGCTTTAAGGGAGTTATTTAAACTTTAAAGCAAAATGTCAAGCTTAACAAACCTTCCTTTTCTATTCCAGTTCAGCATCCTGTTGGCTGTCGGCAATTTGATTCACATTCCAACACATGAATTAAAAGAAACGTTTCCTGAATTTAGAATTTTTCCCGTTATTAGTGAGGCACAGAAATGTCAGCTCTCTAAAGAGCAAAAAATGAGATTCATCCGAAATTGTTTCAATTAATGGTTTCAGCCCTCCAAAACAGTGACGTTTAATTAGCACTTCTTCAGTGACAGATTAGCTGCATTAAAATTGCCAATGAACCTATTAAATGTGATGAACTGCATTAATGATTCTCTGCTTTTGTCCATCTCTTGTAGCTGACTCACCCAGTCACCTTAAATGTTGGGGGTCACCTCTACACGACCTCTATCTCCACTCTTCAACGTTACCCAGACTCCATGCTGGGCGCCATGTTCCGCGGCGACTTCCCCACCACACGGGACGCTCAGGGAAACTACTTCATCGACCGGGACGGGACGCTTTTCCGCTACATATTAAACTTCCTGCGCACATCCGAGCTCACTCTTCCTGTTGACTTCACGGAGATGGACCTTCTGCGTAAAGAAGCTGACTTCTATCAGATCGAGCCTTTAATCCAGTGCCTCAATGACCCAAAGCCTCTGTACCCGCTGGACACCTTTGAGCAGGTGGTGGAGTTGTCCAGCACTCGCAAGCTGTCTAAGTACTCCAACCCAGTAGCGGTTATTATCACGCAACTAACCATAACCACCAAGGTCCACTCGCTGCTGGAGGGAATATCCAACAACTTCACTAAGTGGAACAAACACATGATGGACACCAGAGACTGTCAGGTGTCCTTCACCTTTGGACCTTGTGACCACCATCAAGAGGTGTCTCTAAGGGTCCACCTCATGGACTACATCACCAAACAGGGATTCACGATCCGGAACACACGGGTGCACCACATGAGCGAGCGTGCCAACGAGAACACAGTGGAGCACCACTGGACTTTCTGCCGGCTAGCATATAAAGTAGAAGATTGACCAATCTATGAATGTGCTACCAAATGTAGTTGCTGCTCTTTCCAATGCAATGTTTCAATCTGTAGAAATTCCATTGTCGGTTGAGACCAAGCAGAAGAAAAAGGGAATGAAATGTAAAGGATCACATCATGCAATGCAGAATATTTCGCAAAAGCATTAAAATAATATATGATAGAAATGCATTTGCAGTACATATTCAGATAATACTCAAGCATCTTTCAGTAATCTATGAACACCTTGCCCACAATCATTTAAAAAAAGCAAAAACAAAATTGTTTCAGGTATTCATTCATTCCATCAGATCAGAAATCTGTCAAACATTGTGCACTATGTGCAACATCAAGATGTTAGCGTGCATGTATTTCTAACACATTCTTTTAAGTATTAAGTGTCCACATGCTGTAAATGGAAATAAATTTCATTTGTTCATCGGTTTCATTTAAAAAAAAAGCATCAATATGAGTCAGTTGTCTTATTTTATTATCCACTGCAAATGATCTACTGCTAAATAATAGAGAGGCACATTTCAAAGGTAAATGTTTTAAATCTTAAAGCGATAGTTCACTCAAAAATGAAAATTCTGGCATCATGTCACTCTCAGGTTTCTCCAAACCTGTTTAAGTTTCTTTCTTCTGTTGAACACCACAACACACTACAACATTTTGAAGAAAGTTGGTAGCCAAACAGTTGCCATATTATGGAAGTCAATGCTTACTGTCAAATTTTAGTTACCAACATTCTGCTGACCAAATTTTCATTTTTGGGTGAACTTTCCCTTAGTGTGATTATAAATATTTGTTTATATATTTTATGGTTTGTATATAAAAGTATATAGATTTATTTCTTTACTTTTTTTTTAGCTTTGTAGCAGCGACTGAGAACCCCAGTAATGATGAATAGTCCCTGTATGTCAGAGACTTGGTAGAGTCCTGCCAGCGGACCTATTAGAACACACTATCCGTGACGTTCACGCCGCCATGTTTTTGTTCTCCTGTTCTGTCAGCGCAGCCGCAGCGGTAACATGCGTGAAGACGGTGCAAGCTCAGTGTTGAAGGACAACTGTTCGGATGTTGTATTCTAGCGATCAAAACTCATTTTCATAAGTGCATATTATTGTGCTGTGCTTTAAAGGTGCCTTGCCGTTGACTGTGTTTTGAAAGAAAAAGATGTTTAGAAAAAGTCAGAACCTAAAATATATATTAAGTCTTGTACCTGGAAAAAGACGTCTTGGGACGTACAGATTTTTGCCCTTGTTCTTCTGTATCGGGGGTGTCATGGAGTGGATGATGATAAACGTGAGAATAGGAAAAGAAACGTTTTGTAAGTATGCTGCCAGGGTTGCCAGGTTTTCACAACAAAACCCGCCTACAGTCTATGCTCAAAACTAGCCCAATCGCGTTTCAAGGGGGGTTCCCCGGTAAAAATCGCGTTCCGGGGGTTCCTCACGTAAAATTCGCATTCCAGGGGCTGAATATCACGTTATTGGGGTCGCTTCAACAACCCGCGGACATGGAAAACAACCCGCGGCAACAATGATAAAGTATCCCAATTCCGCGGGAAATCCGCGGACTTGGCAACACTGATGCATGCCCCTCTCTTTGAAGCGTTTATGTGCATCATTCTGCGTCCTCTTTGCGCAGGGCTGTCCTTTTATCCTTCATCGAACGAGAATAATGATTTACTTCTGAAATCTTTAAAACCAAAATACGTTTAATGTGTATCATTAATCTTAATTAGGTAGGGTACAACGGTGCTTAATTTACATTATGCTTAGATTATGTGAAGATGAATGTATTATACATTAATATATTTATGTAGTCCTATAGCCTATTAAGAATTCATTTTTAATTATGTATTGGTTATTTTTATGGACAAGTAATTATATAATTTTCTGGCTTCACAGATGATGTCTACAGAAGAAAACAATCGGAGAGGGAATACCAGCACAAGATTGAGGAGGGCTTTGTGCTCACAGACTCTGAAGCCAAATGAGATCATCAGAACACACTGGAAATAAATGATCGTCATGATAAAGAGACTGAAACAAACACAGTTTTGAGACTTTTGCACACTTAACACACTTTTGATATCATTCAAAAATGGGTATATTATTATACATAAACTGTAGTGCAGCTGTGACATGGACTGCGTGATTATGAGGACAAATGAGGTGCAGAAGGCTGCCAATGTTTGTTTCTGTAAGGAAGATGGCATTTTTTGTATTGTCTAAAAGATAAAGATGGCTGTTTACACAAAAAAAGTTCTGTCTTTTCTGCGATTCTAAATAATACACTTTGGAAGCTTGTAAAAAGTAAAAAATACGATTCTGTAAGTCATAATAATGAGAAACTTTCTCACAATTAGGACTTAGCATCTCATTATATCGAGAAAGTTACTTATTTATGAGAACATTTATACATTTCTTTTAATTATTGCTCATTATAATAATAATGACAAATGTTTATCATGAGTTTATATCATTAAAATTAGAAAAAAATCTAATTTTCATATCTAATAATCATGACAGTATATTGTTATAATGACTTACAATAATGAGAAACTTTCATAGTTCCTAAGTCATACTAAGTCATTTTTATGATAGACTTTATCAGTGTATGCTAAGACATAATTATGAGAATTTATCCTTTACTTAATTTTTTTTACCCAGCTTTAGTGGAAACAGGAAAAAAAGATGGTCTATTGTAGTGCACACTTTGTGCAATTTAAGTTTACGAAGATAAAGTCCAGCAAATGTGTCAGTCCATAGTGAATTTATTTACCAGCATTGGATATCAGTAACAGTAACCACTGAATATCTTTTTCCAATTTTAAGTTCACAGACATTACTACAATTTTTACTTTCAAAAACATGAATAAAATGATTACACTGTAAAAAAAAAAAAAAGTCAAGAAAAAGTTGTTATTGCCTGTATATGCTTCTAACAAATGATGTAAATGATCTTAAATGTCTAAATGCTCAATGCACTCAAAAGTCAAAATTCTTTATTAAGCTGTTAAATCTTCATCTTAACAGTGGTTGCCAGTTGGACAATGGCTTGAGGAACATTTTCTTCTTTCTCAGCGGATCACTTGTAGTGTCCAATTGGTAGAGCTCTCAGACAGATGAAGCTGTTGGGATGCTGGGCCAACGTTATCGGGTTTCCGTCCAGCCGAACCTCCTGCATGTTGTACCTGATGTAGTGCGTGTTATTTCCTTTGCAGAATGTGGCATCCGTCAGTGACGTTATGTTGTTGTTCTGAAAATGATTTGAAAAGAATTTATACATATAGGGGACACACTAAATACTACAATCTATATATAGGCTAGATACATCACAATAGTGATGACCATACATGCAGATGAACCACGCGGAGGGTTTCCGGCAGCAGCGGGACAGCCTCCAGCCCGTTGTCTCCAAGGTACAGGTATGATAGCTTGGTGAGTTTCTAATGCAAAAGATAGAAGCCACTTATGAGTAACATAACAATGTATTATTTCAGAATCTTTCTTTTATTCATTTTTACCTTAAAAATGTTTGCTTTTATTCCCTTTGTTTTAAGTAGATTGTGGTTGACATTGAGAGACACAAGTTTAGCCGGCAGCATTGGCAGTTTGACCAGTTTGTTCTCAGCTAATGTTAGTTCCTCAAGCTGGTCGAGTTTTGAAAAGGCTCCATCTTCTATTTCAGAGATCAGATTGCCAGTCAGGTCAATTCTTCTCAGCGTGGCTGTAAAACAACACAATATGGATGTATTTACAGATTTGGACATTCCCACTGGGCTGCAACTGAATATGTTTTTTTTTTATTAACTTCCTGTCATCATTTACTCACTCTCGTGTCATTCCAAACCTGTTTCACTTTATTTCTTCTGTGGAACATAGAAAATATGGCTCACATTTTTTCTTTTTTTTTTTGGCCGTGCACTCATAAAAATAAATGTTCCAAAAGGGGGGTTTCTCAACAATGCCATAGAAGAACCATTCAGTAAACAGTTCTTAAAAGAACCATTTTTTCTTGGTGTGAAGAACATTGTTCCAATATCAAGAACCTTTTGTGTATTCGAAAGATTCCATGGATGTTAAAGTTTCTTCATGGAATCATAGATGCCAGTAAAGAACCTTTATTTTTAAGAGTGTACAGTGAAAGTCAATGGGGTCCAAATGTCTAAAGAAAGAAAGTATTTTTCCAATATCAAGAACCATTTGTGTACTGGAAGGATTCCATGGATGTTAAAGATAATGGAATCATAGATGCCTCAGAAGAACCGTTAGTTTTAAGAGTTTGCAGTGAAGATCAATGGAGTCCAAATGTCCACAAAAAGAAAGTCACATGGGTGACATGAGGGTGAGTAAATAATATTATTTTTCATTTTTGGGTGAACTATCCTTTTAAATGCACAAAGCCTTCTAGGTTTGTCTCCCCTTCTATACCAGAGACTCTAAGGGACCTAAACGCACTTTCTCAGTTCTGTTTTAGAGCCATTAAAAGTGGCAAGGAAAATTTCACTCAGTTGCTTTGATTACATTGATCCAGTTCCAGTCATTACACATTGTGTCTTTGGTGGCCACACCTAAAAAGCTTTTCCCTCACCAATATCGGCAAAGTCTCTGTTGGTAATTTTAGCGATTTTGTTGAAGCGTGCATAGAGGTAAGCCGTTTCCTTTGGCAGTGGTGGAACTGTTGTCATGTCAGGAGAAACCTCCTCACAGTACACCGATCCAGTTAGACACACACACATCAGGCATGTGGGAAGTTCTGAAAAACGAAATAGAAATAAATAGGCTTAAATATTATCTTGAATCAAATGATTGCGAACTTGAAGTAATAAGCAATTACCCTTGTCATCTTTATGGTCAGCTCCCGGACCTTCATCATCTGTGTCAACTGGACTATCATAGTCTGCGCTAAGAATGACTTTTTTCTAGTAAAGCAGATGAAAAGAAAACTATATTATTTTGTTTCCTCTCAAAACCAACAAGTTCGATGAGCTCAGATAAACCCAGATAATTTGCCGATGGTGCTGTTTTCCATCGGATATAATCCCATTATGGATTTAACAGGTTTTCCATTGCATACCTTTCTTGGAACAGATTTATGATATCTGGCATTCTGATTATACAAATACATATATTCGTTTTAGCCCTCAAGAACATGAATGTGTTCAGCAAAATTCCATTTTAATATCACAATGTATACAAATTAGCATTATCAGCATTAAAATGCCATACCTTTGGTTTCTTGGCTTCCACGACAATTCTACTCTCTGAGATGAATTCTTCATCATCTACTATTTTCAATATCCCTTTGTGTTTAGGCACCACTTTACTGGTTCTTGCCGGTTCACAAAATATCCAGGGCATGGTCACGAAAAAGAGTAAAATCCTCAGATCCATCATCATGTGAGGAGAAACGGTTGTTGTGGTGAGTGAAGAAGGGAGAGGAGCAGCGCAGTGTGTCACAGCCTCCGAGTAAAATGAGACCTTTAAAGAGTGTCTCTGCACTGACTGCCTGTGAACCATTAAAAAACACTTCATGAAACTGGCCTTAACCCACTCTGTGCTGTCTTAACAGATCACTCGCCTCATTCCCGCCAAAATAAATGCAAGTGCTTTGTCCATATGTTTTGAAATTGTGGAGTAAAGTGGATAAAAACAACATTGCAATTCTTGTGAATAAGCATAATCTGACAATAATAAGACGTGTATTCCATCTTTGTCTGATAGGCTATAATGAGACATTTTCAGGGAACACTGTGATTCAGAAAATACTGGAGGGAATGAACAGTGCTGGCCATGGAAATAAAGGACAGAATTCAACAGGAAATTATTATTAGTTCAGGAATCTTGGACAGCATGTTTGAATATGGTGAACCCTTAAAACTTAAAATCCATCGCTATGTGATGTTGAAAAGCTTTATTGTTAGAAATGCAGCTGGGTTTGTTTGGGAGGTATCGGGATGAATTGAGAGAAGAGGGAGAAAAACGTCTGTCCCCCTGATTAAGCCAAAGAAAATCTTTCATTTTTGGTCAAGAGAAATAATATCATCTAATGCGTGAGAAAGTGCTGTGAAATATATTTCAGACATGATTCAGCTGACATGCTGTAACACCATCTTCTATCGCTTCTAAGAAGCGATAAAGATCTGATGGCTTTAACAGAGATCTGCAGGTTTTTGGACACCGTTAGAGTACTATTACATCTTATTTTAACCTGGGAACAGAATTAACCAGGTGTTCAAACAAATGCATGCCAAGACTTCTAAAAGGCACTTCCTCGACCTCCCTCTGACTGGTTGCCGTTACTTAACCTGATGGGACACAGGATGAAATTAAAGGAGAAGAGAAAGAAAGAGCCTAGACCAGGGGTAGGCAAGTTCGGTCCTAGAGAGCCGCAGTCCTGCAGAGTTCAGCTCCAACCCTGAAAACAAAACTCACCTGCCTATAGCCTTAGTAATCCTGAAGACATTGATTAGCTTGTTCAGGTGTGTTTGATTAGGGTTGGAGCTGAACTCTGCAGGACTGCGGCTCTCTAGGACCGAACTTGCCTACCCCTGGCCTAGACAGACTAGACAGTTTAACATGCAGATAAAGAAAATGATGGGCAAAATTATTACTGTGGGCAAAGAATCTTTGTGGTAAAGTCCAGATATTATTCTGCACGGTTTGTCTGCAGCTCTACCAACTGATGCATAATGGAGAGAGTGTGAACATCTCAACAGATGTGAGAGTGAGTTGAGGAGCTTTAGCGTTTTGGCTTGTTTCAGGCAAAATATATTAGTTGAGTAACAACTGTACAGTGTCCGACTGTGAAGATACCTGAAAAACCCTTTATTATAGAGCTTCTGAGAAAAAAATAAATTATAATGTTCCAGGGTAGCAGGCCTTTTTGAAGTTTTCTTTGCTCCAAAATAAATAAATAAATAAATAAAGCACTAAACTCCACCACATTAAGTATTTCCTAAACACCTGATTTGTCATTATGCACCAGTGGTAGTATTAACCAGTGATATTATTAATATACTATTAATGTATTGAATAATTTTTTACATTTGCAGTTTTCATTTTAATTTCAGTTCATTTTAGTAATTTTATCATTTATAAATATAATGTTAAGTGCTTTTGTCATGTTTTAAAAATATTTCTATATGTAAATAATTAATTAATTAGTTTATTTAATTAATATTTATTTTCATTTTTAGTTTTAGTTTTAGCCATTTTTGTACTTCAAGAAATTTTTATCAGTAATT